GAGACATTGATACACAGTTGGCCTTGGATTTGCAGCTGGTTGAATTATTGTTGTTTAGTTGCTCAGTCGTGTCTGATTCTTTGTGACCCCGTGGTTCTGTGTCCATGGGATTTCCCAGGCAAGAATACTGGAGCTGGTTGCCATTTCCTTCTCCAGGGGATCTTCCTGACCCAGGGATCAAACCCATGCCTCCTGCGTTGGCAGGTGAGTTCTTTACTGCTGAACCACAAGGGAAGCCCAGTTGGTTGAATGCATGGATGCAAAATCTGCTGATACGGAGGGCCAACTGTCTTCAGTGTACCATGCCATTTTATACAAGGGACTTGAGTTTAGCAGATTTTGCTGCTGACCTGTTGTCCTGGAACAAATCCTCCGTGGATACGGAAGACAGTTGTATCTGCTCTGGGCAGTGAGCATTTTGAGATCTATTATTCTCACTCATCTTTGAGATTTCAACTCCTGGTATGGAACCTGACACATAGTAAGCCATTAATAAAACAAATTGTCTTAGAAGATTCTACAGTCTGTGTGGGGGAATAATTCAGGAAAATAGGAATGGATATTACATCCCTGATTAGCAAGGTAGTTGTCTATTATACAAGTTCCTTTTTGATGAAGATCAATTGAGAGCAGAGATCTGCCCTTCGGCTCTGTTCCCTTGGGATACTATTTCTCCTCTCTGAACTTACTATGTTATTTTTAGCATGACTTATTTGCAAATAAATCTTACATGACTTAGAAATCTATGCACTGAATTTTTATTTAGGGTTTTTGTTCTTTTGTTTTCCAGGAAGGTATAGCTTGTTTTTACATGTCCGGTGGAAGCTGTAGATGCAAAATATTATCCTCCATATTCCATTGCTAATAATTCTGTCACTTTTCTTTCCATATTGCAATAATGTGTGAGTTTCTCAAGCCTGTTTATTTCTTCCTTGTAGTGTTAAACAATGAAATTCCAATACTGAGCCTTTATACTAGCCAATTTATAGCCACAGTTTATATAAATTTTCACAAGCTGAAAAGAATTCCTTTTCCTTTCCAACTGTAAAAAATGAATGGTATTTTCATTGTTGAACTATCTTTGCAAATGTTTTACATAAGAAAGAATATGATATTTGAACTTCAGACATTGCTGTTATGTACTATGAATTGCAATCTCTAAGAAGACCATAATTCTGATTTGTTGCCATGCTTACTCTGTGGTCCTGGCAATAATATTTAAATGGATTCATCTACTCCTGGAAGCATAAATACATGGGAGTTTTCTTTGTTGAGCCATAATAAGCTTATCATCTCGTTCCTTTCCCCACCACGTGCCTAGAGATTAAACAAATAAAACCCATAGCTTAGGCGATTTCTTATTTAAACAGAGTTAAAAAGTCAATAATATCATCTCTGTGCCTCAGTTTATTCATATTTCAAATGAACATCATAAGGCATAGGGTAGTTATAAGATTACATTAGCTACACCTGTGACTGACTCAAAAGCTACATGTAAATATTCGTTCCGTATAGTTTTGTGCGTGCTTCCCTGCTAGCTCAGCTGGTAAAGAATCCGCCTGCAATGCAGAAGACCCCAGTTTGATTCCTGGGTCGGGAAGATACCCTGGAGAAGGGATAGGCTACCTGCTCCAGTATTCTTGGGCTTCCCTAAGGGCTCAGCTGGTAAAGAATCTGCCTGCAACGCAGGAGACCTGGGTTTGATCCCTGGGTTGGGAAGATCCTCTGGAGAAGGGAACAGCTACCCACTTCAGTATTCTGGCCTGGAGAATCCCATGGACTGTATAGTCCACGGGGCCCCAAAGAGTCGGACACGACTGAGCGACTTTCACGCCCTCACTATGGTCCTGTGTGCTCCTGAATGTGCTGCGCCCACCAAGCAGTGTGTACAGAGAAGGCTGTATACACTGAGATCATCCTCAAGGTTTCGAAGAGAGACTGTGCCGTGAGGAGAAAGAACACTGGTTTGGGGTCAAGGGAGCTGCTTTTGAGTCCCACACCAGAGTCAGGAGCTGTGGGGCTATAGACGAATCATTTAGCCATTCTGAATCCTCTTTCCCTAATGTGGAAATGGAGAGAAATAATAACATTGATCCCTAGAATCAATGCATGTGAAAGTGCTTTGTCTCTGGGAAAGTGCTTTGACAGTGGGAACACTGATTGTACCGAAATGACAGCGTGGTCCCCCAGTCTACAGATTTTCAGCCAGGATGAGGAAAATATGGATGAGGAAAATATGTAAGTATATCCTAGAAAGAATTTTAGAGTCATTCTCCCATGCTCTAGTGACTTTTCAAGGCATCACTATTTTCACTGAATACTTTTTCATCAGTAAACAATTTTTGAGAGATGGCTATGTACCAGGCACTGTGCTAAATGTTGAGGATACAAAATCATAAAAAATACAGAGTTTGCTTTCAGAGAGCTTTTGGTAACTTAGTAGAGAAAGATAAACATGTAAATAAACATGGACAATGAGATTTAAGAGCTTATTAGAATTTTAAAGTTATATCTTGTTTAAATTAAAAAATTTTTTTAATTGGAGGATAATTACTATATGATGTTGTGTTAGTTTATGCCGTACATCAACATGAATCAACCACAGGTATAAATATGTCCCATCTCTCTTGAGCCTCCCCCACACCCCATCCTACCCCTCTGGGTTGTCACAGAACACTTGGTTGAGCTCCCTGCATCATATAGCAAATTCCCACTGGCTGGCTATTTTACATATGGTAATACATAGGTTACAGTGCTACTCACTTGATTTGTCCCACCCTCTGCTTCCCCTGCTGTGTCCACAAATCTGTTCTCTATCTCTGTGTCTCTGTTCCTGCCTTGCAAATAGGTTCATCAGTACCAGTTTCCTATATTACTATATATGCATTAGTACATATTTGTCTTTCTCTTTTTGACTTCACTTTGTATAACAGGCTTTAGGTTCATCCACCTCCCTAGGACTGACTCAAATTCATTCTTTTTAATGCCTGAGTAATATTCCACTGGGCTTCCTGCTTCCCTCGTAGCTGTCAGTAAAGAATCTGTCTGTAATGCAAGAGACCCAGATTTGATTCCTCGGTCCGTAGGATCCCCTGGAGAAGGAAATGGCTACCCACTCCAGTATACTTACCTGGGAAACCCCATGGACAGAGGAGTCTGGTGGGCTGCAGTCCATCAAGGTGCAAGAGTTGGGACAGGAGTTGGACATGACTTGGTGACTAACCCACCACCAATATTCCATTGTATGTAGGTCACAGCTTCTATCTGTCAATGGACATCTGGGTTGCTTCCAGGTCTGGCTACTGTAAATAGTGCTGCAATGAACACTGGAGTACATGTCTTTTAAAACTGGTTTTCTCAGGGTATATGCACAGTAGTGGGTTGCCGGGTCATATGGTAGCTTTAGTGCTAGTTTTTAAGGAATCTCTACACTGTTAACAATGGCTCCATCAATTTACATTCCCACCAACAGTGCAAGAGGGTTCCCTTTTCTTTGCATCCTCACCAGCATTTGTTATTTGTAGAGTTTTTGATGATGGCCCTTCTGACCAGTGTGAGGTGACATCTCATTGTAGTTTTGATTAACATTTCTCTAGTAATAAGTGATGCTGAACATCTTTTCATGTGTTTATCAGCTATCTGTATGTCTTCTTTGGAGAAATGTTAAGTTATATCTTATATGTGATTTAAATATAGAAGAAGTATGTGGGGGGGAGTAGTTGAAGGGGTGATGATAGGCGATAGAACAAGAGCCTGGCACGGGACCTTACCCTAATTCTTCCATACTCAATCCTTCTAGACATCTGATAGTTGATGAGTGAGCAGGAACCTCTGTGTGTGGGAGAACCACAGACATACAAAAGGAAGGGTCAAGCATGCAGACGACTGGACACTGTTCAGGTCAGCTGACTGCATCCTACAGGTAAATCACACATGCAAGGAGTGGTGGAGTGATGGTTAGCAAATATAAGGTCACCTGGAAAATTCTAGTTATATATCATAGCTATAAAGCAAAGATGAATTTTCCAAAGGGCACAATGAAAGGCACAAACTAAATGCTTTATTCAGTTACAAATCATAACCATAGCCACAAAACTGGGCTCCTTATGTAACTCTCTGTTATTATTTGCATGATTGCCAAAACCGCAGCATGGACATGAACATTCCTAGTGGATTTAACTACTTATCATAGAATTTATCCCAAGGAGGTAGCTTGATGTAATAGAAAGAAGCATCAATAGGTATTCAAAGAGAAGAAAGAACTTGGAGAAGAGAGGAGTGGGGAAAGCAAGATGGAAGGAAGGATGGAAGGAAGGAAGGCGGGTAAGAGGAGGTAGGTGATGGATATTAAGACTGAATACTTAAATCCAAACTCTGACTCTCTAGTTAGGTGCACTTTTTTTTTTTTTGCCATGCTACATGGCTTGCAGGATTTTATTTCTGTGACCAGAGACTGAACTCATGCCCACTGCAGTGGAAGCACAGAATCTTAACCACTGGACCACCAGGGAAATCCCTGGTTAGGTGAACTTTGACAAGTTATTGAACTTCTCTGAACCATATTCTTTTCATCTGGACATGGTGATTTACCTTTCACAGTGATTGTGAGAATTAAAAATTACTTTTATAAAGTAGTTACTTTTCTAACATGGCTGGTACGCAAGTCCTTACTAGCTCATCGACAGTAATTTTTGTATTTAGGTAAATGGTGATGCTGCTACATGCAGCAACATCACCAACTTGTGTGTAGCACTATTTTGCACACTATTCATTTTTAAAAAACTATTTGTATTTTTGGCTGTGCTGAGTCTTTTCTCTAGTTGTGGCGAGTGGAGGCCACTCCCTAGCTGTGGTGTATGGGCGTCTCATTGCGGTGGCTTCTCTTGTTGTGGAGCATGGCCAGGGCACGCGGACTTCAGCAGTTGTGGCTCCTGGGCTCGAGAGCACAGGCTGAATAGGTGTGGCACACGGGCCTTGTTGCTTTGTGACATGTGGGATCCTCCCGGAACAGGGATCGAACCCGTGTCTCCTGCACTGGCAGGCGGATTCTTTACCACTGAGCCACGGGGGAAGCCCCTACATTATTCTTAAACAGTTACATGCAACAAACTACATGTACCATGATGGATTTGGAAAGAAATTTAGCACTTTGAAAAATAAGCAATATACTGAAAAAAATGCATGCTTCTCAAATGTTCTGTTGCATACAAATATGTCTCAGAATATCTAAATGAAAACACTAGCACCTCTACCTGTATCTGAAGGAAGTAACAGGCCTCAAACCTGAACACCATTTAAATTGCGACATGCACCTAAAGCCATAATGCTTTCTTCCGTATTTCCTTTGGAATGAAGGTGCTTTTGGAGTATAACCGGAAGGGACTTTCTCTTAGATGGTGTCAGACATGGCGGGAATAAAGATTAAGGAGCAATACTCACAGATAGGATCTGGTCTCCTCTCTGGAGCTCCCCACTCAGGTCCGCTGGTCCACCAGCCAGAATGAAGGAGACAAAAATACCTTCTCCGTCTTCTCCGCCCACGATGTTGAAGCCCAGGCCAGTGGAGCCTTTATGCAGGACCACCTTGCGGGGCTCCCTGCAGAAGCAAGTGGAGAATCACATCATAGGGTGGCCCAGTCAAGATTTACATCATTTTTACTTACTACCTATGAAAAGTGCTTCTCCAATTGTGATAAATTTGCATGTCAAAAAGATGCAAAAATCAGGGCAGATGTCTGAATGCCTCACTGTTAACAAATGCCAATATACCATGCAAGTTTATCCCTTAATTCCCAAACATTTCCTTAAACTAGCTTTACTTGCAATTTTCCTTTGTTTATAACATCTGTTCTTGTACCGAGACTACTACAGCAGTATTCAATAGGATGGATGTATCCAAAAAGAGGAAGAGAATTTGGGGGACAAGAGACTAGACTGACTAGGCCAGATGATGAACTATATTACATGACAGGCTGTGGGCTTGTTTTTTGTTTAATTAAAATTCACTCTGGAGGCAGTGGGGACTCACTGGAAGATTTTTGAGGCATGGATAATATTTAAATCAATTTTAGGAAGATTACAAATGGCCATATGTAGGACTGATGGGAGTTGGAAGCACAGATATGATGGCAGACAGGAAAACTACTGAGGATGTTGACCAAGTAATCCAGGTTTAAGGAAGTGACAGCCTGCCCAAGAGGGATGGCAGTGGTAATGAAAAGAAAGGGCAACATGAAAGAAGTAATTTGAAAAACCACTACAATATTGTAATTAGCCTCCAATTAAAATAAATAAATTAATTTAAAATTAGAAAAAAGAAAGGTAATTTGAAGGGAGGGACAGAGGTTGATTTAGGTATGGGAGGAGGAAGGAAGAACATATAAGTACTTGCAAAAATGGGAGCGTGTGGGTGGAATCCAGGGTACGAGCATGAGTATGATTTTTACACACTTAATTCCAGGTACTAGTGGGACATCCTTGTGGAGATGTGTGAAGCAGTTAGAGACAAAGGCTAGGAATTTAGATTCTCGGGGAGGACTGCAAAGGCAGATTTGAGGGTCATCAGTAAGAGGATGAGAGATCAAATCTTAAGCCAACAGTTCATTGAGATTATTTAGAGGTTGAAAAATTATGAAACACAGAATTGCAAGGGTTCTAAGAGGGCATCTAGTCTAATTGTCTCTATCAGTAGTTTCAAAAAATGTATCCTGCAAGCCTCAGGTTTGACCAAGATTTTTTTTAAATATCACCTACCCTTCTCTTTCAAATATCTCAGTTCCAATTGTGAAATGTTCCTCTTCTATTTTCCTACTCCTAATGGTGTAAGAATGACAAAGAACCACCCAATCTATTTTTATTTTTTAAAATTAATTTTTAGTGGAGTATCGCTGCTTTACAATGTTTTGTGTGTTCCCGCTGTGCAATAAAGGGAATCAGTTATACATACACATGTTGTGGTTCAGTGGCTAAGCCATGACCAACTCTTTGTGACCCCATGGGCTGCAGCAAGCCAGGCTTCCCTGTCCTTCACTATCTTCTAGAGTTTATTCCAACTCATGTCCATTGAATCAGTGATGCCATCCAGTCATCTCATCTTCTGCCACCCCCTTCTCCTCCCNTAAAATTAATTTTTAGTGGAGTATCGCTGCTTTACAATGTTTTGTGTGTTCCCGCTGTGCAATAAAGGGAATCAGTTATACATACACATGTTGTGGTTCAGTGGCTAAGCCATGACCAACTCTTTGTGACCCCATGGGCTGCAGCAAGCCAGGCTTCCCTGTCCTTCACTATCTTCTAGAGTTTATTCCAACTCATGTCCATTGAATCAGTGATGCCATCCAGTCATCTCATCTTCTGCCACCCCCTTCTCCTCCCGCCCTCAATCTTTCCCAGTGAAGCAGCTCTTTGCATCAGGTGGTTAAAGTACTGGAGCTTCAGCTTCAGCATCAGTTCTTCCAATGAATATTCAGGGTTGATTTCCTTTAGGATTGACTGGTTTGATCTCCTTGCTGTGCAAGGGACTCTCAAGAGTCTTCTCCAACACCACAGTTCAAAAGCATCAATTCTTTAACACTCAGCTTTCTTTATAGTCCAACTCTCACAGCCATACATGATTACTGGAAAAACGATAGCTTTGACTATACAGACTTTTGTCAGCAAAACAATGTCTCTGCTTTTTATTTATTTATTTTTTTTTGGTTGGCATAAATTTCCTTTAATAATTTCTACATTTCCAATAGGATTTCATTTGAGGTTTAATGTATACGCTGTTTAGGTTTTTCAAGTCTTTTCTTCCAAAGAGCAAGTGTCTTTTAATTTTGTGTCTTCTGTCACTGCCTGCAGTGATTTTGGAGTCCAAGAAAATAAAGACTGTCACTGTTTCCACTTTTTCTCCATATATTGGCCATGAGGTGAAAGGACTGGATTCCATGATCTTCGTTTTTTTCAATGTTGAGTTTCAAGTCAGCTTTTTCACTCTCCTCTTTTACCCTCATCAAGAGGATCTTTAATTCCTCTTTGTATATGCATTTCCACTCGTTTTTAGATATCCTTCCCACTGAGGTCACCACAGAGCATTGAGTAGAGTTTCCTGTGCTACACAGTAGGTTTTTAATTAGTTATCTGTTTTTACACATAGCAGTGATTTCATGTCAATCCCAATCTCCCAATTTATCCCAACCCTCTTTCCCCCACCTTGGTAACCTAAGTTTGTTTTCTCAATCTATGACACTATTTTTGCTTTGCAAATAAGTTCATCTGTACCATTTTATTAGATTCTACATATAAGCAATATTATATGATATTGAGGTCATCATAATAATGACTACACAGATTTTTTTTATTTGCTATCACATTTCCTTGCATAAAGAGATGCATTATATCTATATTTACCCTTATTTGAGGAAAGGTGTACAATGCATGTTAGAGTTTGGACTATAAGTAATACGTAACAATGCTATGTATTAAGAGGTGACTTGAGAAACCTGTATGCAGGTCAGGAAGCAACAGTTAGAACTGGACATGGAACAACAGACTGGTTCCAAATAGGAAAAGGAGTACGTCAAGGCTGTATATTGTCACCCTGCTTATTTAACTTATATGCAGAGTACATCATGAGAAACGCTGGGCTGGAAGAAGCACAAGCTGGAATCAAGATTGCTGGGAGAAATATCAATAACCTCAGATATGCAGATGACACCACCCTTATGGCAGAAAGTGAAGAAGAACTAAAGAGCCTCTTGATGAAAGTGAAAGAGGAGAGTGAAAAAGTTGGCTTAAAGCTCAACATTCAGAAAACTAAGATCATGGCATCTGGTCCCATCGCTTCATGGGAAATAGATGGGGAAACAGTGGAAACAGTGTCAGACTTTATTTTTGGGGGCTCCAAAATCACTGCAGATGGTGATCGCAGCCATGAAGTTAAATGATGCTTACTCCTTGGAAGGAAAGTTATGACCAACCTAGACAGCATATTAAAAAGCAGAGACATTACTTTGCCAACAAAGTTCTGTCTAGTCAAGGCTATGGTTTTTCCAGTGGTCATGTATGGATGTGAGAGTTGGATTGTGAAGAAAGCTGAGCACCAAAGAATTGATGCTTTTGAACTGTGGTGTTGGAGAAGCCTCTTGAGAGTCCCTTGGACTACAAGGAGATCCAACCAGTCCATCCTAGGGGATATCAGTCCTGGGTGTTCATTGGAAGGACTGATGCTGAAGCTGAAACTCTCTAGCACTTTGGCCACCTCATGCGACGAGGTGACTCATTGGAAAAGACCCTGATGCTGGGAGGGGTTGGGGGCAGGAGGAGAAGGGGACAACAGAGGATGAGATGGCTGGATGGCATCACCGACTTGATGGGCATGACTTTGAGTAAACTCCAGGAGTTGGTGATGGACAGGGAGGCCTGGCGTGCTCTGATTCATGGGATCGCAAAGAGTCGGACACGACTGAGGAACTGAACTGAACTGAACTGACATAGAGTCAGTTCATTCTGATGGGGGTAGGCTACTTATATGCAATACATGCAATAAGTTAGTTTGTTATAGGTTATGTTAGAAAGCAGTAAATCTTTTGGGAAAAAGAAAAAGTGGAGGAGTGCAAGGACAGGTGCTTGCAGCGATGAGCTTGGGCAGGATTTACTGAAAAGGTGACAGTTGAGGAAAGACTAAAGAGGTGAGGATTCTCATCATGCTATCTAAAGGAGACATTCCAGCTAGAAGGGACAGAGGCCCTAAGATGGGAAGGTGCCTGGTGTTGTCAAGGAAAAGCTAGGAGGCCATTGTGACTGAATGAGTGAACAAGGGGAGGAGAATGGTAAAAGATGACGTCAGTGTACTAGTTTTCTATTGATGAGCAACAAATTGCCACGAACTTAGTGGTGACAAATTACCACAAACACCCACTATTATCTCTCTTGTAGGTCAGAAGTCTGGGTGGCCTTGTCTAGGTTGTCTGCCTAGGATTTCATAAGGTTGTTATCAAGGTTTCAGCCAGGACACTTTATTGGAGTGCTCTGGGGAAAAAGCCAGATCCATATACAAGTTAGGTTGTTGGCAGAATTCAGTATCTTGTACTTGTAGGACTGTTTTACATATATTGGCTTGGCCAAAAGAGTTCGTTTAGTTTTTTCTGTAAGATCTTATGGAAAAAACCCAAATGAAACTTTTTTTGGCCAACTCAGTATTTTATTATAAGGAATTGACTGCTGGAGCCATGAATGATGAGTTCCAGGATCTACAGTCAGCAAGCTGGAGACCCAGGAGAGCTGATGGTATAACTTCTGGCTCAAGTTTGAGTCCAAAGTTAGGAGAAAAGCAATGTCCCAGATCAAAGGCCGAAAGAAAGAGCAAATTCTTTCTTACTTTGTCTTTGGTTTCATTCAGGCCTTCAGTGGGTTGGATGGGGCTACTCATGAGAGAGGAAAATCAGCTTTACTCAGTACACTGACACAAATGATAGTCTCATCCAGAAACATCCTCACAGAAACATCATCCACAAACATTCACAAACTGAATATGGTTTAATTATCTGGGCACCCTGTGACCCAGTCAAGTTGACGTACAAACTTAGCCATAAAAGACTGAGGTCCTGTTTCCTT